ATAAAATCCTTGGTAAAGTTTGGCTACCAAATATCGTGATCTTATGTTAAACTCTGGTAAAGTTTGGCTACCAAGTATTGTGTTCTTAAGTTGAATTCCTTGGTTACAATTACCTCAAAAGGTGGACCTACACCATATTAAAATATATTTTGTTGATTTTCCAAGGTGTTTCCATTATTTTGTCCAACCCCTGTATATATTAGTTTAGCAGTTAACATTTTATTGGTTTAACAGTTAACACAATAACTTCAATAATGCGTGAATCACGTAACATTATCATTTCTTGGAATAATGCAAACTATCAAAAAGTCCTTATAATAAAACTATTATTTTATAATAATATAACAATATTTGGTAGCCAAACTTTACCAAGGAATTTAACGTAAGAACACAATATTTGGTAGCCAAACTTTACCAAGGATTTTAACGTAAGAACACAGTATTTGGTAGCCAAACTTTACCAAGGAATTTAACGTAAGAACACAGTATTTGGTAGCCAAACGTAACCAAGGAATTCAACTTAAGAACACAATACTTTGGTAGCCAAACACTCGTATGGCAGGTGCTAGTGTAACAGAAACTGCCCGAATGCTTGACGTTTTGAGGTACTGTCTCAAAAGTAATGACTGCCTTTGAAAGAGAGGGAAAAACGTCCTCAGCAAAGCACAGGTCTGGCCGAAAGTCGAAGTTGTCTGAGAGAGACCGTCGGACTCTAAATCGAATTGTTAGAGAGGATCGCAAGACCACGGCTCTTAAAATCACTGCAGACCTCAATGAACACCTACAGAACCCAGTTTCCACAAAAACTGTTCGTCAGGAGCTGCACAAATCTGGATTATACGGAAGAGCTGCAATTAGAAAACCTCTGCTCTCAAAGACAAATGTTTCGAAGCGTTTAGAGTGGTGTAGAAACCACCAGAATTGGTCCGTCGAGCAGTGGAAAAATGTGATTTTCTCTGACGAATCATCGTTTACCTTATTTCCGACCTCCGGCCGAGTGTACGTTTGGAGAAAGCCGAAAGAAGCCCTTAATCCAGACTGCCTTCTCCCAACCGTAAAACATGGCGGGGGTTCTGTGATGATCTGGGGTGCTATTTCTTGGAAATCCACCGGGCCAATGATTTCCCTTCATGGAAGAATTAACAGCCGAGACTATTTAGGAATTTTGGGCGACCAAGTTCATCCTATAGTTCAAGCACTGTTTCCGGAGGGGAACGCCATCTTTCAAGATGATAATGCCCCAATCCATACAGCTAGAATTGTTAAAGAATGGCACGAGGAACATTCTAATGAAGTTGAGCATCTCATCTGGCCACCACAATCCCCAGACCTCAACATTATTGAGTATTTATGGTCGATTTTAGAGATTCAAGTAAGAAGTCGATTTCCGCCGCCATCGTCTCTAAAAGAACTGGTAGGTGTTTTAACTGAAGAATGGGCTAAAATTCCTTTGGAAACAATTCACAATTTGTATGAATCAATACCTCGGAGAATTGAGGCTGTACCAACAATTTGGCCTCTTTGAAAGTCAGAGAGGTCTGCCATTTTTATAAGGTTATAACCAAATTTTTTTTTAGATATCTGTAAAAAACAGTTAATTGAAATAAAATATCAAATAGCAACAATAATAAACAATAAAACATTAAAATATGTCAAGTTTTGATTGTTTATAACATTTTCAAAGATTATGATTCCAAAATGTTAGGTGTTTCCAGTATTTTGTCCAACCCCTGTAGTTTCTCCATATGAAACAGAATTATACAAAATCAAAACAAAATTGGGTTTAATAAGTAAATTTACCTAGAGAAAGACTACTATACAGGTTAAAAAGTGCTACCATTGAAAGAATCAATATACGAATAATAGTACTGTCTGTTGTATGTCCATGTAACTATTTCGCAGA